ACACTGTTGCAGGTAATGTAACTTAGTACAGTTATTATGGAAAACAGCATGAAGTTTCCTCAAACAACTTAAAAACAGGACTAGCATATGATCCAGCAATTCCACAGATGTGTATACATCCAAAAGAAAGAAAATCAATATATGGAAGCCATAGCTGCACTCTGATGTTTACTGCAGCATTATTCGTAATAGCCAAGATATGGAATCAACCCAAAGGTCTATCAGTAGATGAATGGATTAAACAAATGTGGTGTATATACACAACAGAATATTATTCAGCCAAGAAAAAGATAAAAGAAATTCTGTTATTTGCTGCAACACAGATGAAACTAGAGGCCATTATGTTAAGTGAAATAAACCAGGTATAGAAAGGTACGTTACATATCCCATGTTTTTACTTATATGGGAGCTAAAACACTTGATCTCATGGAGGTAAAATAGAATGATAATTACCAGAGGCAGGGGAGAGTAAGGAAGAGGGGAGAATGAAGAGAGGTTGATTTTGGGTACAAAAATACAGTTAGAAGGAATGCTGTTCAATAGCATAGTAGGGTGACAACAACTAATACTAATTTATTGTATATTTCAAAATAGCGAGAAGATTTAGAGTGCTCCTGACACAAAGAAATGATAAATGTTTGAGGTGATGAAAATGTTAATGACAATCATTACACATTGTATGCATGTATCAGAATATCATATGTATCCCATAAATGTATATAATTATTATGTATCAATAAAATAAAATAAATTTTAAAAAAGAAAGGAAAAAGTTGCTGTAAAACAATATTGGGATGACTGGCAAAATTTAAATGTTGAGTGTATATGTTAGAAAATTATATTGCATCAATATTAAATTTCTTGAATTTGGTAATAATTGCACTGATGTTATATAAGAAAATATATTTGATCCTAGAAGATTCATATTGAATTATTTAGAGCTGAAGAATCTTTTTTTTTTTGAGACAGAGTCTCACTTTGTTGCCCAGGCTAGAGTGAGTGCCTTGGCATCAGCCTAGCTCACAGCAACCTCAATCTCCTGGGCTCAAGCAATCCTCCTGCCACAGCCTCCCGAGTAGCTAGAACTACAGGCATGCACCACCATGCCCTGCTAATTTTTTGTATATATATTTTTTAGTTGGTCAATTAGTTTCTATTTTTTTTTAGTAGAGACAGGGTCTCGCTCAGGCTGGTTTTGAGCTACTGACCTTGAGCAATCCGCCCGCCTCGGCCTCCCAGAGTGCTAGGTTTACAGGCGTGAGCCGTGAGCCACCGTGCCCGGCTGAGCTGAAGAATCTTGATTTTAGCAATTTACTCTCAGTCCAGCAAAAAGAAAAAAGTGTGTACATATATATGTATCTATACACACGTAGGGTACATCGGGTCATTGTAATATTTTTATAACTTTTCTCTATGTTTAAATTTTATTTCCTAAAATAAAATATTTAATTAAATAAAAAAGTTCCCCCATTAAGGGAACAATTTGTCAGGGGATAATGAATGAATGGGAAAGGTAACGGGGGCCACCAAGTCATACTCCGTTTCAGCTGCACCTTGAAAACTACACCAGGAAAAAGAAACTGAGCTTCAATTTACCACTGCCATCTCCTTCTTAGGAGAACGTGTTTACCCAAATGCATACTGTGAGGGAAATGCAATTTACACATGTTAAAAACAAATGTATGACTTATTTTTAGAAGCATGCAAAATACACTACAATTTCAAGTAAAAAAATCTTGACAAAATGCAGAGGAGAAAACATCGTGGAGAGGGAATGAGCAAAGAAGTCACATGAAACCACATGTGTTTCTTGAGAACTGAGTTTTGCAAAGAAGTACTGATGCTTTATTAGTCATTGGTTCTTTTTTCCTTTCTTTTCTTTTTTTTAAACATCTTTGCTCTTACCCCATGCAACAAACCTTATCCTTTCCCCAGAAAGAAAATTAGCATCAGTTTCTATAAATTGTTCCTCACATTGGGCAAGTAGCTTTTTCCTAAAGTAGCTTTCCACTGTGAGAACTATTAATAGATGATTCCATTAAAGTCAGCCAACCTCTTCCTCTGTGACCAAGTTTGTAGGCAGAATTTTCAAGTGGTTAAGTGTAGCCTCTTGCCTAATAGTTTAAATTTTTTTAAAAAAGGGGAAAAAAGTAAGAAATTCAGTTGATGAGAATTTCAGTGACACTGAAAATATCCCACGTTGGCAGCAATATGTGCAAGCTATAGAAAGTGTTTCTCAGGGCCCAATCTTTCTTTTGAAACAAGTATTATGCAGTTTCAATTTAAACTCGTTCCTGTAATGTTTTGAGAAATCTTTCAACCAATGCTTCCAAAAAGCACAATCTTGTAAACAGTCTTCAGAAAAAAACTACCACCCCATAATATTTTTTTACATTTTAAAATTTTGAAACAATGTTAAGCCTATGGAAAAGTTACAAGTATAACAAAGAACTTTTTTCTTGAACTATCTGAGAGTAAGTTTTCCATGTGACATTTCATTTCTCTCTAATACCTTAGGATGAAGTTACTACTACCTAATCCTGAGACCCCATTCAGGTTTCATCAGTTGTCCCAACATTGTCCTTTATAGCAAAAGGATGCAATTCAGGATTTCCTGTTGCATCTTCTTATAATGATCTCTTTGGTCTCCGCCATTCTGAAACAGTTCCTCAAACCTTTCTTTTCTTTCGATGACCTTGACACTTTTGAAGATTACAGGCCAGCCATTTTGTAGAACAGCCCTTAGTTTGGGCTACTTATATGTTTCTTCATGAATGGGTTCAGGTTATTCATCTTTGACAGGAGTATCATAGAAGTAATGCTGTGTTCTTTTCATTTTGACAATGTTCAATTGTCAGCATACAATTTCAATTTTTCCATCACTGATGATGTCCACTGGTACCATGAATTATTTCTCCCTTTGTAATTAATATCTACATATTATTAGTAAGTAATAATGTGTTTTGTGGAAAAGTACTTTGAAATTGTATAAATATCCTATTCCTCATCAAACTTTTAATTTATTCAATTATTTACTTTTATTGGTATGAAGCAATTTATTTAATGGGTTATAATGTTACTATCATGATTTATTCTGATGCCCAAGTTGTTCTAGACTTGGCCACTGGAAGCACCTTGGAGCTGGCTTCTGTGTCCTTTTGACACATCCCCTTCAATCTTTCAGCATTTCCTTCCTTTGTGGCAGAACAAGATGTCCTAGGCAGGCTCATCTTGTACTTTTTCTGCCCTAACCCGGGAAACAGCCATTTCTCTAAGCAACACTGGTTCATTTTATTAGAGAATGGTAATTGGAAGCCAAGATCTGGGTGCTAGATGTGCTACTGGGGTGTCACTGCTCCCTGGCCCTCTCAGTGGACCAAGTTAGGGAACATATGCATGTGTATGTACGTTTGCTTCTATATGAACTTCTTTATCTATTTGTCTATACACAAGGAAAATCAACACTACAGGGTTCATTTTCTCTTTCCTTATCTGCAACTCCCTTCTCTGACAGTTTCAAACCTAGCTCTAATTAGTCTTAATATGGTCACTTATTTGATCATTCCCTTGTATGTAACCAATCTCTCTTCTCCACCAGCATCCTTCCCTACATGGACCCCTTCCTGACCTTGGCTGTACTCCAGTACCACAGATTGCACCAGCCTGCCACATAAAAGCCAGCCTCAAATAACCTGGGCTCTGAAATCCAGGCCAGGCTGCACCTGCCACTGTGGAACTCTAGTGCACAGATGCCAACCTTGCACAACGCACCTCCCAGCGTTAGCACTGGACAGCTCAGGAAGCCATGATAAAGAAAGGGAGGGGGAGCAAGAGCCCCCACAGTACCTGTAATGAACCCTACAGTCTCCAGCCCCAGGACTGGCCCTTCTACACTCTGTGCAGGGCAGCTATGCCCATTACTTTGCTCCACTGAACTACCAAGATTCACACAGGATAAATGAAGTGCCCATAAATAGCTGTCTGCTCATAATCACTGGAAGCAAACACCTTCTGCTCCCTAGACTTCTACTGACTTGAGACATTGGGCACACTGTCACATTCTGTAGCATCCTAATCTCATTCCCCTCACTGCAGTTTTTGAGGAGTTTCTCAACAAGGCTTAACACGTTCGTGAGCTAGCAAATATCCCGAGGGCCTACTCTGTGCTTACCCTTGTGTCCTGTGTCAGCAGTAAGTTGACACACTCACCGGCGTTCCGGAGAGAACGCTGTCTGTGCACTACGCTGCCTTCCGCTCCAGGGGCCAGGAATGGGAGTCTTCGCTTATCATGGGCATTCGGGCACAGCACGTGTACATACGTGTTTATCCTTCTAGGCACATCCATTAATATTGTGTACATGTTTACATACCTTCATGCCATGGTATTTTGTACCTCACTGTAGACCCTACTGGTGCCTCAGTGAGGTCCCAGCAGCTCTGGGGTTTTGAAGCCTCTTTCTTACTCACACATTTGTCCAGGGCTGGGTGGGTGGCTTTCAGAAAGAATGAACACTTTTTTGGAGATTTCATTCTGCTTTTCTGCACAAACTGAGCAGCCAGAATTTGAGGCCACTGGCAGATCATCCTCTGCTCCCCCACCCCATAAGTCTACATGCATGGAATACATTCCTAAAGAGGTAACAGGCCTTCCTTCCACACGTGCATGTTGCAGACCCTTTGGCCTTATGTGTAGGCGGTCCCCGACTTACTGTAGTTACGTTTATTATTTTTTGGCTTCGTGGTGGCTTCAGTGCCATGTACCCCATCCTAAGTTGCAGGATATCTGTATCCCCATGCCTACCAGTGAGCCCCTAGTTACAGTGATCCCTGATTTGATATGAAGCGGCGAGATTAAAGGCAGAGGGGCGGCAGTGGCGGTTAAGACGGAAGGTTCTGGAGTCAGATCCCCATTAGAATCTTGGCTGCACCGCTTATCACCTTGTGAACTTGGGCAGATCGCTCCACCTCCTCGAAATTTAAATATTAAAAACAGGACCAACCTCAAGGCACTGCTGAATAGATTAAACCAGGTTTAGAGGGTGATGGCGACTCCAGCAGGGACCCAGCAAGCGTGGGGCCCAGGCGCGAGGCCCGCCGCTCCCGCCCCGCCGCCAGGGCGCTCCTTGGCTGGCTCCGCGCTGCGGGCGGCGGGATGACGGCTTACGCCGAGTCGTCGCAGTCCGATCTACAAGCCACCGATTTTAACACACACGACTCACGAAATCACAGCACTAAGAAAAAGATGCTGCCTCGCGTACTGCGCTCAGCAAAGGCCGCGAGAAGCACGCCGAGGCGGAGGCCGTAAGGCGCCACGCACGGGCGCGCGCGTTCCGGGCGCCCCGACCGGGCACCGACTGGCCCCACGTGCCCGTCTGCCAAGCGGGGACCCGGCGCTCGGGCGCGGGCCGCTGGACGCCCGGGACGGCCCCGCGGGCTCAGTTTCGCTTTCCATTGCGAGAGAAACGAAAGCGGCGGGCGGCCACGTGACGGGCGGGCCACGTGACGGCGGCGCCCGGGCGGCGCGCCTCGGGCTCGGCATTCGCCTCCCGCTCGGCGGACTCGCAGCGACCCGCGGACGCGGCGCCGGCGTGGCCCTGGAGGCAGGTTTGGTGCTAATTCTGGAAGTTTTCTTTCTAGGACAGACCTGGAACGGAGCTCTGCTCAGGAGCCAACTGGATAATTGAGGAATTTATCTGGGCCCTGCAAATTAGGATGATGTCTGTGTTTATTACATACATACATTGGGCCAGTAACATTTTTTCTAGGCTGGTGTATTTGTTTGGACTTTTTGCATGACTTTGTGTTTTAAAAAAAGAAATTATAGAAGTGTTGCAATGCAAATGTGTCTCTCAATGCGCAACTCAGTATCATTTTTGTTTATACCTTATCAGAAATTTTTCTGTGTACAAGTCTTTAAAATTGTTTGTAACTTGCTTTCCACGTCACAATATATTATGGACATCTTTTCATGGCGGGACATGAAGATACGTTCATGGAGTTTTTTAAACTGGTGCATAATATGGAAAGTACATTATCTCTTTTAGACAATGCATGGACATTTAGGTTGTTTCCAGGTTTTGCTGGTATAGATGATATAACAATGAATATCATTTTATGTATACATTAATTCAACTATGTAAATATTTGTGGGAAATTCCTAGAAGTGGGATTGCTGGGTCAATGGACATATGTACTGAGAAATTTGAAAGATGTTCTTCTAACTCTGCAAACCAGAGTATTTTAGTCTTAACCCCTCTACTCTCTCCCTCCTCTTTTTCCTGGAAGAAAGCTAAATTTAGACCTTTAAACATAAAACTTCATATGAAGATCCCTGAAAATCTGGGTTCAGAGTGTTTGAAAATTAAAGCAGAGGCTTTAATTTCGTACTTAACCTCATTGAGGTAGTTATCTTTGGAAGATATTCCAGAAAACAGGGCAAATATTTTTTTAAAAAATTTTAAACATTTCATGTAAAGTTTTCTTTCTGGTGCTACAGTGTGCAGAGTGAGGGGAGTTAATGTAGCAAAATGGGGAGGAGAGTAGCACAGGTGTGCAGCTCCACTTTAATTTATTACAGTACTAAAAAAAGGCTTTTTTAGGGTTTTGGATTTTTCTTATTTACTTTAAAAAAAGTGTTGTGCAGCTTTGGCACTTTCACACAATGGTGGGATTACAAAGGTGGAACTGTTTAAAGTAGCCTCAGAGAAGATAAATCCTAATTCTTCCCCATGGGCTGTTTCTTTTACAGGGAGTAGCTCCAGGGTTCCTGTATTTGGTTTCATCTGAAGTGTTCTAATCTGTGTCTGGGATGTTATTCAAAAAATGAAAAATAATGTGAACAAACCGTTGAGAATGAAGTCTAAGTTTGTTGTTGCTGTGATGGTTTGGGTTTGGAAGACAGTGAGGCTGCTTGAATTATGTTTCTGGCATGATAATTTTGTTCCTCTCTGGACATTTGAAGTTGGAGTCACAGTGAATCCAGTTGTGAGTGAAGCGCAGGGCAGGGCCCCAGACCCTCCCAGATTTTCTGTCCCACCTCCTTGGCCTTTTTGCTGTTTCTCTGAAGACTGTGGCTGATTCTGTGGCCACTGTGGTGGTGGGCCCACGCCAGCCACTTCATCAGCCAGCCACTTCATCATTCGCATCTCCCTCTCATTTGAAAGATAAAAATTGGGCAAATGATAAAAATTGGGGCGGGCGAGGTGGCTCACACCTGTAATCCTAGCACTCTGGGAGGAGGCCAGCCGATCACTAAAGGTCAGGAGTTCAGACCCCGTCTCTACTAAAAATAGAAAGAAATTAATTGGCAAACTAAAAAAATATATAGTGTCAACGGAAAAAAAAGCCAAAGTCTGCAAAATAATTTTAAAGAGATTTATTCTGAGCCAAATTTGAGGACCATGACCCAGAGCCACTGCCAAGAGGCCTCGCTGTGGCTGGGTTACAGTTTGGTTTTTATACATTTTAGAGACAAGGGTTTCGGGTAAAGCCATCAATCAATATGTGGGAGGCATACATTGGTTTGGCCCAAAAAGGAGGGCCATCTCGAAGCAGGGGCTTACAGGTTATAGGTGGGTTTAAAGATTCTTTAGATTGTAATTGGCTAAAGACCTGAAGCTTTGTCTAAAGACCTAGAATGTTTTAACATAAACTGTTTACCAGAGATAAGCCACCATTTGTTGCAAATTGAGGGCCTGCAGGTTTGTCTTGCATACCCTTAGGCCTGTGAATGGCTTACAAAGGAAGTCTCCAAGAAAGGAGGGGGGCATGATAAGGCATGTCTGACCTCCCTCCTCCTGGCAGGCAACTTTGCCCTAGAATATTCCTTTGGCCATGAGGGGGTCCATTCAGTCAGCTGGTGGGGGGGTTGGGGTGAGCATTTTAGTTCACAGTAGAAAAAATTAGCTGAGCATGCTGGTGCATGCCTGTAGTCCCAGCTTCTTGGGAGGCTGAGGCAGAAGGATTGCTTGAGCCCAGGAGTTTGAGATTGCTGTGAGCTAGGCTGATGCGACAGTACTCTAGCCTGGGCAACAGAGTGAGACTCTGTGTCAAAAAATAAAGAAAGAAAGAAAGATAAAAATTTCAGGAAGAGTGGGAGCTAAGTCACTTTAGTACCTTGGGGCCAATTTTTTGAGTCAGGGCTTGAGTCAACTTCCTTGGAACATGTCTGTGCCCTTTTCTCCCGCCGGTGCTTGAGCCACTGCTTACCTCAGCTCTGTCCTCTTTGCCCCTCCTGTTGTGCACCCTTCTGAGCTAACTCAGCTTCACTTTCCTTTCCTTTGTTTCTCCACCGACCTGTCTCCCCTCTGTGATCAGCCCTAAGTTTCCTGTGGGTTTCTGTTGCTCTTTGGGACCTGGCGTGCCAGCCTGCCGGATGATCTGCCCCCTGGGCTTTACTGAAGTCAGTCAGAGGTCTCCGCACAGGGCAGGACAGTGTGTCTGGAAAACGCAGACTGGAACTCTCTACTCTGTTTCATCGGTTTCCCTCAATAGGTCTCAAAATCCTCTTTCTTGACAATGGAATTTTTTTGAGACAGGGACTCATTCTGTCGCCCAGGCTAGAGCGCAGTGGTGTCATCATAGTTCACTGCAACCTCCCACTCCTGGACTCAAGTGATCCGTCTGCCACAGCCTCCTGAGTAGCTGGGACTACAGGTGTGCACCACCACACCTGGCTAATTTTTCTATTTTTTTTTTTTTGGTATTTATTTATTTTTAATTTCGGCATATTTTCTATTTTTTATGGAGACGGGGTCTTGCTATGTTGCCCAGACTGGTCTCAAATTTCTGACTTCAAGTGATCCTCTGCCTCAGTCTCCCAAAGTGCTGGGATTACAGGTGTGAGCCACCATGTCTAACCTTGATAATGCAGATAATCGTCTGCTGTCATCATTTCTCTTTCAGTTTAACTTTCCTAGGCTGAGTTTCATAAGAGGAACAACTGTTTATAACCATTAAAAATAAATATGTAGTAGGAAAAAGAGGTTGCTTGTTATCTGAGCCATTTAACATGAATTTAATAACATATTCCAGTCATACTTAGTTATTTCCAAGCTTCAGATGTTTCCTTTATTTCTGCCCTGTATTTCCGCTTAACCACTTGAGTACTAGCGTCGACCGTAGTCGACAGCCACAGATGAACGCGCACAGCGACTTTAGCCGACAGCCGTGATATGACTTTTCTAATTTTTCATTTATCAAAATAAAATTGTGAACATTTAAAAATAACGTAGTGAAAACATATGTGTATATGTTACCTATTCTGATTCACATGACAAGTAAAGCTGCCTGTAAAGGAGAACAAGCTTCAGTGCTTTAAGGCTCTCCTCGTCACACCGCGTGGTCAACGCACAGCACAGACCGCCGGCGACTGTGAGTGCCGCTGGGGGCGAGGTGTCGCGGCCGGTGAGCGCCGGACTAAAGCGGTTAATAAAGATAGGGAAAATTACAATGCTATTTTACAGAATAAAAAAGAAATTATAAAAAATCATATTGTATGAATCTTACTATATAAAACATAAATATGTTTATAACTTATACGTACAGGGGTCAGGGGAAAACTGAGAGGAAATATAGTAAAATTGTCATTAATGGGTAACTCTTGATGGGATTACAGATAATTTTTACCTTTTTCATAATATTTCTTTTAATTTCCAAATTTCCTGTAACTAATTAAGATGTAATTTTAAAATGTGCAATAATTCATTTAGGAGATAGATTTAATCTCTCTTAAGAAAACTTTTGTGGGTTTTTTTTGTCTGTTTTCTGTGACAGGGTCTCACTCTGTCTCCTAGGCTAGAAGGCAGTGGCATCATAGCTCACTGCAACCTTCAACTCCTGGGCTCAAGCAATCCTTCTCCCTCAGCCTCCTGAATGGCTGGGTCTACAAGCACGTGCCACCACACCTGGCTAATTCTTAAATTTTTTTGTAGAGACGGGGTCTTGCTATATTACTGAGTCTTGTCTCGAACTCCTGGGCTCAAGTGATCCTCCCACCTCGGCCTCCCAAAATACTGGGATTATAGGCATGAGCCATAACATATACATATATGTTTTCATTACATTACTTTTATTTTTATTTATTTATTTATTTTTTGAGACAGAGTCTTGCTTTGTTGCCCAGGCTAGAGTGAGTGCCGTGGCGTCAGCCTAGCTCACAGCAACCTCAGACTCCTGGGCTCAAGCGATCCTCCTGCCTCAGCCTCCCGAGTAGCTGGGACTACAGGCATGCGCCACCATGCCCGGCTAATTTTTTCTATATGTATATATTAGTTGGCCAATTAATTTCTTTCTATTTATAGTAGAGATGGGGTCTCGCTCTTGCTCAGGCTGGTTTTGAACTCCTGACCTCGAGCAATCCGCCCGCCTCGGCCTCCCAGAGTGCTAGGATTACAGGCGTGAGCCACCGCGCCCGGCCGGTTTACATTACTTTTAAATATTCACAATTTTATTTTGATAAATAAAAAATTAGAAAAGTCATATCACGGCTGTCGGCTAAAGTTGCTGTGCACGTTCATCTGTGGCTGTCGACTATAGTTGACGCTCGTACTGAAGTCGTTAAACAGTCTAAAATGATTTTAATGTCACTACAGTTTTCCATTTTA